GTGTCCCCAAAAGAAATTGTGAGGTCTGTTGCAAACTAGGAAAATGGGGTTTATTATATATCTCTGAATGGCCTTGCAGCTCCCAACAAAGGATACTTCCTGCCCAGGGGAATCCTTTGTTAGCTAGTTCCAGGGACTAGCTAACACCTCCCAACAAAGGATACTTCCTGTCCGGGGAATCCTTTGTTGGGAAGTGTTACCTAGTCCCTGGAATTTGTGTCCCCAAAAGAAACTAAGGTCTGTTGGAAACTAGGAAAATTGTGATTATTATATATCTCCGAATGGCCTTGCAGCTGTAAAGCCTGGCTTCTTCCTGCCCAGGGGAATCCTTTGTTGGGAGGTGTTACCCGGTCCCTGGAACTTGTGTCCCCAAAAGAAATTGTGAGGTCTGTTGGAAACTAGGAAAAATTGGGTTTATTATATATCTCAGGAATGATGTCCAGGGTGGGAGAAAGACCTCTTGTCTGTTGGAAGCAAGTGGGAATGTTGCAATAGACCACCTTGATTAGCACTGAATGTCCTTGCCGCTTCAAAGCCTGGCTACTTCCTGCCCGGGGGAATCCTTTGTCGGGAGGTGTTACCTAGTCCCTGAAATTTGTCTCCCCAAAAGAAATTGTGAGGTCTGTTGGAAACTAGGAAAATGGGGTTTATTATATATCTCTGAATGCCCTTAAAGCTGTAAAGCTTACTTCCTGCCCAGGGGAATCCTTTGTTGGGAGGTGCAAGCTGGTCCCTGGAACTTGTGTCCCCCAAAGAAATTGTGAGGTCTGTTGGAAACTAGGAAAATTGGGTTTATTATATATCTCTGAATGGCCTTGCAGCGGTCAAGCCTGGCTACTTCCTGCCCGGGGGAATCCTTTGTTGGGAAGTGTTACCTAGTCCCTGGAATTTGTGTCCCCCCCAAAAATTGAAGTCTGTTGGAAACTAGGAAAATGGGGTTTATTATATATCTCTGAATGGCCTTAAAGCTGTAAAGCTTACTTCCTGCCCAGGGGAATCCTTTGTTGGGAGGTGCAAGCTGGTCCCTGGAACTTGTGTCCCCCAAAGAAATTGTGAGGTCTGTTGGAAACTAGGAAAATTGGGTTTATTACATGTCCAGGGTGGGAGAAAGAACTCTGGTCTGCTGGAGGCAAGCGTGAACGTTGCCATTGGCCACCTTGATTAGCACTGAATGGCCTTGCAGCTGTAAAGCCTGGCTACTTCCTGCCCGGGGGAATCCTTTGTCGGGAGGTGTTACCTAGTCCCTGAAATTTGTCTCCCCAAAAGAAATTGTGAGGTCTGTTGGAAACTAGGAAAATGGGGTTTATTATAATCTCTGAATGGCCTTGCAGCTGTCAAGCCTGGCTACTTCCTGCCCAGGGGAATCCTTTGTTGGGAGGTGTTACCCGGTCACTGGAACTTGTGTCCCCAAAAGAAATTGTGAGGTCTGTTGGAAACTAGGAAAATGGGGTTTATTACATATCTCAGGAATGATGTCCAGGGTGGGAGAAAGAACTCTGGTCTCCTGGAGGCAAGCGTGAACGTTGCCATTGGCCACCTTGATTAGCACTGAATGGCCTTGCCGCTTCAAAGCCTGGCTACTTCCTGCCTGGGGGAATCCTTTGTTGGGAGGTGTTAGCTGGTCCCTGGAACTTGTGTCCCCGAAAGAAATTGTGAGGTCTGTTGGAAACTAGGAAAATTGTGTTTATTATATATCTCTGAATGGCCTTGCAGCGGTCAAGCCTGGCTACTTCCTGCCCGGGGGAATCCTTTGTCGGGAGGTGTTACCTAGTCCCTGAAATTTGTCTCCCCAAAAGAAATTGTGAGGTCTGTTGGAAACTAGGAAAATGGGGTTTATTACATGTCCAGGGTGGGAGAAAGAACTCTGGTCTGCTGGAGGCAAGCGTGAACGTTGCCATTGGCCACTTTGATTAGCACTGAATGGCCTTGCAGCTGTAAAGCCTGGCTACTTCCTGCCCGGGGGAATCCTTTGTCGGGAGGTGTTAGCCGGTCCCTGGAACTTGTGTCCCCAAAAGAAATTGTGAGGTCTGTTGCAAACTAGGAAAATGGGGTTTATTATATATCTCTGAATGGCCTTGCAGCTCCCAACAAAGGATACTTCCTGCCCGGGGGAATCCTTTGTTAGCTAGTTCCAGGGACTAGCTAACACCTCCCAACAAAGGATACTTCCTGTCCGGGGAATCCTTTGTTGGGAAGTGTTACCTAGTCCCTGGAATTTGTGTCCCCAAAAGAAACTAAGGTCTGTTGGAAACTAGGAAAATGGGATTTAATATATATCTGAATGGCCTTGCAGCTGTAAAGCCTGGCTACTTCCTGCCCAGAGGAATCCTTTGTTGGGATGTGTTACCTAAGAGAAGAGAAGGAAAGAAAAAAAGGAAAGAAGGAAGGAAAGAAAGAAGGAGAGAAAGAGGGAGGGAAGGTTGGCCACAGCAACTCCTGGTGGGTAGAGCTAGTTGGAAAATAAATTGTGCTGGAATGAAAAAACATAGATCCAAATAAATATAGGAAGGATCTGACTGTCATTGCTTGCTGGGTTGGGACTGAAGGGTGTATTAACTAGCTGCTCCATCTGTAGACACACAAACACAGATAAGTATCTGCTCCATTCTGCAGGGAGATTAGATAGATTGCTAGATAGGTGGATAGATGGATGGATGGATGGATGGATGGATGGATGGATGGATGGATGGATGGATGGATGGATGGATGGATGGATGGATGGATGGATGGATGGATGGATAGATAGATAGATAGATAGATAGATAGATAGATAGATAGATAGATAGATAGATGATAAACTGAAGCCCCTTCCACGCCGTTGAATAAAAGCCCAAATTCTCTGCTTTGAACTGGGATATATGGCAGTGTGGACTCAGGGCCCTTCCACACAGCCCTATATCCCAGAATACCAGGGCAGAAAATCCCACATTATCTGAGTGTGGACTCAGATAACCCAGTTCAGTGGGATTATCTGCCTTGATAT